TGCTCGCCGTGAAGTCCGTCGTATTTTCTCGCGATTTCCTCCGTAGAAAGCGTCACTAGAAATGAGCAGGCGAATGAATCAGTTGATCAGTAAATAGCCAATTTCATTCCCTTGTCTCTTTTAATAAAAAACTCGTTTTTGTTTCTTCACGCGATCGATCGCCAAGTGAAATGATTCTTACATAACGCATTTATTTGTTTCAGCCGTCGGCTTCAAGAAATGGTGCTACAATATCAGCAGATTTAATCAATACGGTAATGAAGAATGACATTTTTACGTCGTTGATTTGTATTGCGCAAAAACTGAGTAAAATTCCCAACCTAACCTAACATCGTTGTGTTGATATATTGATTTCCTGGTGTAGAGGACTATTGTACTATTGGAGACAAGCATTTGTTATGTTTGAAATAGTAGTGCCTATAGTTGTACTGTAACTGCCTTTTTTACGTATCAATTTTGTATATTAGCTAAATTTGATGACAAGAACTTGATTAGTAGTAGTAGTGTTTTGATATCACTAGTGGATGCGTGCATTTTTACGAAGAAATTCACGCTAAGGAGTACGACAATTTGTTCACGGATTATACCGATTGTGCAGAAATTGTTTGGATACTGTATATCCAGAACTAATTATAATTTGTATTATAAGAAGAAATTAATTTTTCTATCCAGGTTTATGGAGGGATGATTTGCTCATCGAAGATGCGGACGTGACTGAAGCGCTGAGGCGCCTGCCTCAGGAACTCAAGGATCAACGCAACTTCCGCATAGTGAGAGCCATACAGTTGGACGCCAACAAGAGAATCCTACCCGAGGAGGAATGGACTAAGTATGAAGAGGTCAGTAAACATCAATTGTCATTGATTGAACGATATGTGACTCTAGTAATAACACATAATTGATCTAGAATTTCCTCAGCTAACGAAAGAATGTTTTTGTAGGACGTACATTACCTTAAGCCGTACGTCGATGAAGTTGTGAAAGAGCGCAAGGAGAGAGAGGCATGGGAGGCGTCGTAAAACCATAGCGCAATGATTAATATAGCAATGTAACAAAGATTATCCGTTCTTTGATGCGGAGAAGAGCTGGTCTGTACATACATAAGATGAATAGATATTAAATAAATTATATTTGCTTTTGTTCGAAACAGCAATAAGTATGCAGCGACGTTCTGTGCTCTGTTGCGTTTGCAACATCCGTCTAATTTCCCAAACGACCACTTCCTAATGGTGAATAATATGAACTGCGAGTAAATAAATAATAAGCCGACTCGAATTGATAATGTGGAAAAATATCTCGCAGGAATAGCCACATGCTGCGTATTGATAGAATATAACATTATTATTGTTTAATTATTGTAATGCACATGTCCCTAAATAATTCCTAACTCATTACATGAAGGATATTGCTTGGGATATTGAATAGATTGCAGACAGACGCGAAAATAGTCGTCGTTGGAAAATGTACGGCATACATAATTGGAAAGAAATTTATATATTTCATCATCGGTTGTTATCGCGTTCATCCGTCACTCATTAATATCTCCTATATAAGTGCACGTCATCAATTTATTTAGATGGTACGTGTGATAATTTAAACGATAATCAAGCGGTAATAATAATAATAATAATAATGACGTTAATACGCTCCATCAAGGTCTACGAGTTGAGCGAGAAAAAAAAACACGAAAAACCGTAGAACAGCGTAGTGAATGCAATAAATTCATATGACACATAAAACGAGTATATGTCTACAAAATTTACAATATTTGTAAATCGATAAGCAATTAGTATTTATAGAAGAGCCAGTTTTCTGTAATTTCTAAATAGACATTCAAGAAAGAAGAGAAATTGAGAAAATGCAGTTCTATCGGTTATTATAATTTTTTGAATGCGAAAAATACTAAAATTTTTGAAGTCGCATATACTTATAGGAATATTTTTGCGAGAAATTTTATTTAGCTAGATTCGAAAGGCTCAATGAGGGTGATTGAACATGTGTCCTCCTGTCCGCGAATTTTTAAAGAAAAATTGACCAAAGTCACACTTTCCGAAGCCCCATTCTTATTACATTGCATTTCCGTATTTTTTTTTAATTTTTTTCATTTTTTTCATTTTTAAATTAAATGTGCTTTTGCATTGAGTTTCAAATTAACATCTTTTCGAGCTTCCTCCAACTCCGAAATCGATACCTCGATGACAC